ATGCCCCCCTAGTATTCCTCTTACCTCCATGGCCCTGGTCTGGGCAGCACTGCCTCTCTCAGAATTCCTCCAAGTCACTGTAGCCTGGTCGTCAATGGTGATCACATGAGGCGTGCACACATCCTCAGCAATTGGCTGATTCACCAAGCGGAGGAGGAAAAAAACCATTGGAAGACTCCAACATTGGAGGAACCCATCTGAAGACATCAATTCACACTCTAGCCCACTAAGAACATATAAAAATAAAAAGCACATACAAACAAATATGAACAAAAAAAACTCTCTCCCCATCGCCAATACGAATATGGAACACCATTTTGTGGGATCAATTCGGGCCTCTTTGGATTTTTCGTTGGGCCACTTGGACTCATTGGACGTCTTCCGGTCCGGGGAGGGACCCCCGTCCGTCGTCTTCCGCTGCCCGAGAGGAACCCTTGGCCGTCCTTGGCGGTCTTTGACATCGTGAGCACCTGCGTGGGGGGGAAGAATGGTATACATGCAAATACATGCGCGAGGCGAGGCTCATCACTCGATCAGGTGATAAATAAGGAGATCTGCGTAGCTCAAAAGGACTGGCAGTCATACTGAAGCTTTTGCTAGCCATCTTAGGCCGTCTTCGACATCAGAACATGCAAATGAGCCTCATGAGTTCAAGGGTTCTAGCGCAGGACAATGGCCGTTTAAAAAAAAACAAACAACATGTGAACTGTGGCACTGTAGTACCATAGAAGTCCACAGTCTGGCTCATAAGTTTGACTTCTTGGCAACCTGCTTCACTAGCTTGACTTTGCGGTTCGCTGTGCTCAGAGTGATGTGATGACCAGTGCCTCCAGCTCTTTGGCCTTGCTCTGTAAAAACATTATAATCGTGGACTGGGTGATGATGCTCTGAGGCTTTCCTCCGGCGTCCGGCGTGACGATCAGCGGAAGATCTTGTCACATACGTAAGGGGAAATGTCACATACGTAAGGGGGAAAAAAGCGCTCGAGCGGAACGTTTTAGAAGCTGTTGAAGCAGAAATCTCATGTGGACTGAACGTATAGTATAGAAGCTTCTCTTGCCCAACCGGGCGCGAACCACCATGAAGCTTCTCTGCAGATTCATTCGGGCCCCAGTCCCATCTCTCAAAGTGCAAAAGGCTCATCGACAAGTGGCCTTCGCAAAGCACCACTGCTCTACGCGCAGCCCCCACGATGGATTCAACAACCTGCCAATTCGCCCAAAGACACAGGGAGCGCGAGGCAATTTTCTCGCACTTTTTGGCGGATGATCACATCAGTGAGTGCTTCAACTGTACGGAATCCTTGTGGTCACCTGGAGGCATGAAGGACTTGACCGTTCACTGGGGACGGGGCTGGGGAGGGAAAGTGAGGGGAGCGAGACGGGAGGTGCATTGTGCATGGCATGGGTGTGGACGCTTGCGCGGCTGATATGCTAGTTACGAGGACATGGTTGCACCACAAGCATCATTGCAGGCTGCTCCGGGTCAGTGCGCAAGTAGAACGAAGCATGGGTGGGGGTAGTGCTGCTCCATACTTCGCGGAAGCCCGTTGGGAGGTGAGTGGAACTGTGTTGCGGGGCTTATACGATGGTCTTGGGCATCCAAAATGTACAAAATGCATGCGGCAGACAGTGAAGTCGTGGCCGAAACGGCAGGATTGTTGCGTGCCAAAAGCGCAATGCGTGAAATTGGATGGTTGGAACGAAGCATGGAGGGGGCTGATGCTGCTCCATGCTTCCTGGAACGGTTGTCAGAAGCCATGTTGCAAATGGGGTTGGAGACTAGCTGCAGAGATTGAAAACAGCCACTTGTTTTCTTCCTACTGCAACAATATTTCTATCTAGGGTCTATGCCGGTGTAAAGACAAAAGATGGAGGCCCGCAAAGGTTTGTTCGAGAAAAGCAAACGACAAATCCTCTCCTCCTGGGATATCTCCGCCATATCGACGCCCTGATCATGCCAACGATGCACGCCACCGGAAATCTATGCCAAAAAATTAAACATAAATATCATGGTTGCCACGAAACCTGGAGGGGGCTGATGCTTCGTTTTGGCCTGCTAATGTGTGTTTTTCTATTTTTCCTGGGTTGCGCGCTTCTATTGCTTTTGGGTCCGCGGGCTCACCTTGTTTCTTTTTTGATTCCTCTTAAAGCATTCAGCCAGAACTAGTAACTAGTTGCAATGGCTATCAAAGTGAGTGTATTAACACCAAACGTCATGCACCTCCTGTGCAAGAAGCGACTCAGTAGGCCTTGAGAATAAACATTGGCTCAACAGTTCTTGGGATGATTCAAAGGCCATCCAACTCTGCTGGGAATCCTGGTGCATGTAACATTTGGCTGGATCAGAGGCGCCCTCTGGATCAGAGGTTGGCGACCACTTTCTGACCAAGTGACCAGGTCTGTCACTTTTCAACTTGGACCCTTGGTGAATCTTCCTTCTAGACAAGAACGCACGCATGTACAGTGTAGTAGTGCACATTGCAGTTTGTGCCCCGCACCTGTTGCAGGTTGTCCTCCTCAGAGCACTCAGAAGGCTTGGCCCGGGCACTTCGGCCTTGGTGCACAAACTGCACATGCGCCGCATCGGTCTGACCATCAAAGGCAGCACCCTCCGCTACAAACCATGGCCACAAGGCCCACGATGCAGTCTCCTGCTGAAGTGAAAGTCACCCTAACAAGGGTTTCTTCCAGTCTCCACCAGTTCCCCGCCTTGAAGTTCATCACCGTCAAGCAACACACCTCCTTCGTCCCTTGTCTTTTGTGGTTTCGGTGCTGCCCAAGGCACCCATGACCTTCTCCAAGCGTTCGTCCATAAACCTAAGGCAACCGCGCTCCGCCTTCGACCCACCGGGTTCGTCCGAGAACAGACTCGACGCACCGACCGTTCGCTCGCGAGTCGCGACGAACGAAGCGGGCGGACCTGCCAAGGCACGATTTCTTCCCGGCGGCTTCCATTTCCACCACATGGACAGCGATGTCCAAGGTGTCCAGGATGCCCAGGAACTTTCCTGCACACGCACATGCATCGTCGTGTGTGTACACAGCTGGGGAGGTGGTCTTCATCGGTTGGGCGGGATGAAGCAATTTCATGAGATTGACAAGTCTGCTGTGGGCAAGTGGCTTTGGGGTCATCAAACCTTTGCTTGGCTTCAGGAGGTTGCCCATTCTTGAGGGTCTTCTACTTGTAACCTGTAAAGCTGGCAGCATGATATGCATCGACACTTTCAAGGTAGGGTCTTCTATGCCAAGTGTTTGGACTCTTCAAGCTGCCTTGGATAGCTCGAGCCCACATGAAGCCCCGATTTCCCCCGATTTCCCCCGCATCGCTCCATCACGGTCCACCACTGGTGCCGACAGCAAGTGATGGTCTGTCAGTACTTGAATGGCCTGCGCACGGATCTGGATATCGGGTGATCTTGGTGACTTCCCCTTCGTGAGGGCTGCACACCAATGTACATCCAAGTACACCCGGGCTACATGTGCCCAAGTGCTGTGGTTGTCGAAGCTTACTTTGCCATCCCAAGATGCAAGACCTCAACAAACTAGAAGGCAATTCACATCCCGCCTACCGAGTTCATTTTGCCTTTTGGAGTGCTGGAGGTTGACGAACGAACGTGCTTCTGGCGGCAAAGGGTATCGGTATCACTTGCCATCCTTTAGCGGCCCTTGACAAACATGCTGGATCAAACTGTATCCCAAGAACAACTTACCCAAACATGATTGAATAAGCATAGGTGCATACTTTTGCACTGGCTTCTTTCTTTCGTTCTGTATGCTTGTATCAGACCTCACCAATACTTGTTGGTGACCTCTTCATGAGACTTAAGACCTGACACCTTCGCGCCCCCCAAAAGACGCGCGTTTCGATGAACTCAGGATACCAAGTGACACTAAAGAGTCCATCCTTTGTTGCCGACAGGGTCACCAGCTCCCTGGGCAAGGGGAGGTCCTTCACCTCACAGAGCAGCGAGCTTGAGCTTTCGCTCGTCCAGGTGCAAAGCTGGGTCTCCCATCTCCCCAATGGATCCCAATGGCACTTGGGCTACAAGTCGTTTCGACTCCTTCGTTTGGGCGCATGCTGCAGAACCTAGCAATTTCCACCTTGGAGTTTCAACTGGATCTGTCCCATCAACCACCCAACCCATCAACCTCCGCAAAAAAAAGGATGTCAAAATGCCTATGTTCTCGGGATCCGGCATTGTTAAGGCTTGCACCTTGTAGCTTTTCAGAAGATCCTTGAAATCCATCCAACTGATGAAGACAAAGTCCAAACGTTTCGAGCCAAAGGGCTACATATGGCTACAGGCCTGGCTACATCGTGCAGGCTTCGCCATCATCTGAATCTGATAGACCGTGAAGAAAGGTCATCTGGATGGTAGGAGAAATGACTGCATGACTGCAACCTTTGAATCGACAAGGACCGACCAAATGCTTGAAGAAATCTAGAGGCAAACGATCTAATCAAATGCTGGTAGACACCAAACTGATCACCTGCAACCAATCATTGAGAGGTGCACAGCGGACCCCAATGGAAGGGGGTGGTTGACTGCGCGGAACACAAAGCAGCCACAAGGATCACTGATACAAAAATTGAAACAGGCTGAAGCCCCTTCCAAAATACCAACATCTATCAACATTGACATCCATTTCGGGCGCATCTTTTGGGTGGCAAGTCTTACACCCCATGAGCTCTTCGGCTCCGATTCCAGCACCGAAAGTAGAGAAACCACTGACAGATGCTGTTGGGAGAGCAGGAAGAACATCCAAGAATTCAAGGTGATGAGATCCACAGCCCCTGTCTTAAAAAAACATATCCGGCAGCTGGCATCAGCTGGCTCTATGGCCATAGAACTGTTTTATTTGCAGGACTGAGGTCCGATGATTCACGGGGGTTCACTCAACAATCATGCCTTCCCACATGGCTCATCGGCTCGGAAAACCTCCAAACCGCTCACGCACCACGAAGAACCCAGCCAACCCCCGCTCTGAGACCAGTGCATCATAGTTCGAGCGCCGAAAGCCCTGCCAAAACCATCTGACGAGTCACGTGTGAAGCATGTGACTCGTCGCTCGTTACGAGAGCATTTGGGGGATCAATGTAAAGCCCACAAAGCACTCGAAGCAAACAGGGCTTGGCTTTAACTCGAGCCAAAGCCTACCAATTACAGCGGAAAAAGGTCTGCGGTCTGCAACATCATCGTCATCCTCCTCATCTTCTTCTTCCCCTTCTTCTACTACAGTGTACAGTACCTCCTTCATATTTTTGGGGATGTGCTTGGATACCCTCCTCCCAGTTCAAGGTCCGGCAGCTGCCAAGGTGGACAGTGTCGCAAAACAATGAAGCCGTCTGACACGACTGGGCGTTCAGCCAGCACAGGCTGACGTTTCAACCATGTTGGACGATTATAAGCTGAAGCCATCAAAACAAGGCCAGAAAAGGATACAAGGTCAAACTGGAAGAATATGGAAGACTTCGAGCCTTTGGATGGTCAAGGGCGGTGCCAACTGAACCTGTTTCCTTTCAACAGCATCATCTGCATCCTTGCGTTTCGCCCCCTGCTTTGGTAAAGGAGCTGAAGAACTTCGAGCGCGTGGCCTGGGATGGGTGCGCGCGCCCTGGGTGGTCTTGATGGACGACTGCAGCCACACTCCCGGCCACCATTGAGTTGACACTTGAAACTTTGCGATGGGAATGATCGACCATCTGTGTTCTCACCCACTCAATGTGATGTCTGCATTCTGCAGCTGCATTTACCCCATTGAGTGTCCAGGCTACAATCCACAAAACAATTGCACGCTTCGACCCCCGTTCACGTGCTCTGTTTTGTGACGCACGTGGTGGGATGAAGCGACTCACGTCCACTAAGGCTGGACTATATGATCTGAACAACCTTAGCAAGTACGTAGTGCATTGTTGAATTACTTCACCAATCAACTCATGCAATGCTCTCTGGGTACTGTCAGAATGAAAGCTGTAGGGTTCATGAACCTTCATGATGTTGCATTGATTAATCCAAGAGTGGCCGATAAAAACCAAACAAACCAAAGAAGAAAACTCGTGTCTGAAGAATGTGACATATTAAATATACAATGAACAACATGTACAAAGACCTAATGTACAACATGACATAATCGAACGGGTCCCTCTATCAAACTAACAACAAAAATGACATATATCATTATATAATATATAACTAATTAAATATTGTCATATAATTAGCCACTAATGTAACCAAGAACCCCTTTCGTCATCGGTTAAAAACATCCAGAACCGTTTTGTGGAGTGCTCAGCTGGCCGCGTGGAACCGACCACGCCTTGTAATCCGCACCGGATTGCTGACACCGCTGGAAGCGTTCCTCTCGACGCCTGAAGAGCCGGACGAAGGACGGAACGGCGGGAAAAACGCTGCGAAATAGATGTGCGAGACGAGAGAGCATCAAGCGAACGTACACGTACCCAGAAATCACGTGAAATACTCATGGAAGTGGACAGTCCCCTGTTTGGTATTCGGAAAATGGTCATCCAATGGGTCATTTTCCACTTCCATGACTATTTTAAAACGTGTATCAACCTGATCCTGTTGGGCATGTTGCCACTGACAAAGGTTTCAAATTCCCCACTGAACACAAGTAGCAAGCTGCGGGTCAACTTGGAGGTTTTGAATCTTTTTGAACCCCACACTTGTCCCACTTCACCTCTCCGGTGAACCTAGTTACAACACTCTTGAGTCCCCTTTGCTTCCTATGTCCTATGCGCTTTTGGATGACCACGCTTCCCTTCTGCCGGTCACGTTCCACCCACCCACGCAACCCCCAGTCCATCCCCAACGGGACCGTCCCGGCCGGAAGTCTTCGAGGAACTTCTTCCGCTTCCGCTCCTCTGGGAGGTTCGCCAAGCGCGCCTCCACACTGCCGTCGTTCGGCGAGCGGGTGGTGTCGGCGAAGCGGCGAGAGGTGAAGCAAAGAGACAAATACAAGGATGGAGGGAACATGGTCACCTAGTTGTGATCATATGTATATAATATTATGTTCACATGTTCTGTTAAGGAAAAGTAATCAAACATGATAAACAAGTGCAGCACATGAAATGGATGAAACAAGTCCACAGCACCGGAGAAAATACAAAGAAGTCCATCTTCCTTGTTGGTCGCTGAATGTTGGAAGTCGGAATATCCTAATTTTCATGCATGCGTTGGTCAGAAGCATCTGCCATCTGCAAAGTGTGGAGCTGGAACTGGGTGTTTTACCTTTCAACGGTTTGTCCACATGTCGCGCGTTTTCTCCGATCGGCCCAAGGGCCGCGTGTGGTCGCGCGTCCATGTTCTCCGAACGACCATGGCACCTGAGAGTGCCTCCGCTCCACCATGCTTCCGCTTGCTGAGAGTGCTCCAGCATCGCAAATGCTGCACTCAATTCGTCCCATAAATACCAAGCACTCCACTGCCAGGTGTTTCTTCCATGGGGGCATACCGACACCCCGGTGATCCGTTTTCTCTGCAGGCACCGCGACACCCCCGCAGGCGCCCAGAACCACTCGTCACCGCTCGTCACCTCTGCTTCTCTTTGAGTCGTACTCCGAAAAGGCGACGTGCCCGGCTTGCTCTTGCGCCCTGCCTGCCGCGGTGCGGTGACATGGGTAGACATGCCATGGGTATCTCAAAGCATGCTCAAGTCCCAGCCTTTTAGGAATAACCTGGGTAGACCTGGGTCAGTTTTTTGGACACCCCCCAAATCTCCTCTTTTTGAGACGACGCTTCACTGGGCCTTTGTCAGGCCGGGCCTCAACATCCTCTTGGAGGTACATGAGGCGGAACCTTCGTTCCGCAGTCCAAGTTCAGATTCACGGATTCATAATGATTATTATTCATCTGTTCGAACATGCTTCCATTCACTCAAGTTGAAGGATTTCATAAGCTTCCCGGTTTGGGTGGCAATGTTTTGAAACATCTTGGGCCACTTTCCATGACAATGAAATGGCAACCTTTTCCACTAGCCTTCTAGTTGAAATTGGGAGCCAAACAGAAAGACATGCCAAGCTCCAAGCTTGTATGTCTGAGTTGAACATTCCTGATCGGACATTTGTGGGTTTCACCAGCGTCCCCGGAGTGCAACACATGGCAGCTGGCAAAGAATTCATGTCTATAGAGCCTAGAGAAAATCAATAAAGCCAGTGTAGCAAAGGGGAGCACAAATCATGTCGATGTACAAACCGCCATCTCTCTGTCTTTTGTGCCATCAGCTGCATCTTTACCGTATGGAAAAAGCCCTCCATAGAGGTAAAGAACCTCTGAAAGGCCTACTGCCACTTCCCTGACTGTCAAAACAAGCACAATTGTGGGCTGGAGACCCACAGCCGGACACTGAAAAACAGTTGGCTTCAAGCTGGGGCTCCCGTCCCAATTCACCATGCTGGCGGCTGGTGCCAACCGCTCATTTCATCAAAGCATAATGGGAGTCTTGCATGGTGTCCACGTGATGGCTGAGCACCTTCATCCTCAATCATGCTGCAAAGCTGCTAAGATTCTCCCTCTCCCTCTCTCTCTGAATGTCTTGCCAGGTTCTGTTGTGTCATCCCGGACTACTCTGACAACACTTGACCCGAACAGCACGTCAAAGAGACATCATCCAAGCACAATCCCACATGGTGGCTTCCATGGGGAACACCGTCCGAGCAGTTATTTGTGCTTCGGAAGGATCCATTCTATGGAATTTCATGGTGTGCGCTCCTTTTTGGCATCCACGGCCATGGCCCAGCTTTGGGTTTCTGCGGCACGATTGTTTTCGAAGGAGAAGGCCGCAAGTGATTTGCGAAGCAGGAGCAAACGAGACAGTATTTTGGCTTTGCTTTAAAGAGATCTCTAGTACGGGAAACTCATCTGGTAGTATTCACCCCCCTGCGCCTTCCCCATCCGTGCAAACATGCTGCGGGCTGTTATCTCTTCAGGATCCGGCCGACTTTGCTCGCAGTAGCGCACGTAATATGAGAGTGATGTGAGATGCCATGCATTCAGCTTAGATGGATTGGATAAGCTACCAATGAAAACACAGGCTTGACTGACATTGCGTGACTGACATTGGGCGAGAGAACTCTTGATGACGCCCGGTTCCTTCCATCGAAGCAAGTGTAGTTCAAGGTGACAGAGTCCACGTCGCAATGATTCATGAGCCCCCCAATAGATTTACAGAACACATCAAACAAGTTGTTTGTATCAAACATGCTATAGGCTATATATATATAAAACACTTGTTTAACATGTTTACCATATTTTACAATTAACAAACAAGGAGCACCCTGAACCCAACACCGTCTCATCCTCAACTGGCTGGGAATTTCACCTGGACTCACGGAATCCTGAGAATTCTCGGACAAACGAATTGAGGCACTGGAGTCAAGTCAATACATACAAACCCCCAAATAGATAGAAAAGGTAAAGTCCCTTTCACCATGTATTGGACACAACTTTCTATCCTCGTTTCTAAATCTATTAGGGGACCACGAAATCAAGAATGATATCTCCCAAGGACTATCATGCCTGCAATTCATTAGCCTAAACGACTAGGTGAGCTGTCGGCCGAAACGTGAGACCTGTGACCAGGACCATTGGGCCGAGTTGATCGTGCCCGTCAGACCATTGGTCGGAGTGTGGTGCGCTGGAGTCGAAGATCCAAACGAGCAGCCAGTGCTTTGAGCCAACAGCCAGTGCTGGTCACACTGAGTTGATCCTGTTCATAACAATAGTTAGGGTGGATTAGGATTGATTTGGCTGCATTGACATTGCAAACTTTCTTGGAGTGTGTGATTCTCTCTTTTGTCTGATAGAACTGGTCGGGAGGCAAATATGTGTCCATCCGTTCCAAGCCCTGATCTTACCGCAAACTGCAACTGCGCTGAGTGGGTATGCTCATGTATGCTCTACGCCAAGTTTGGCCGTTTTGTCTGGCTTTTCTTGGAACTGTTCCCCCTTCTCTGACAGTTCCAGTGCACCTCTACTGCGCAGCCGTGAATGAGGTCTCCACGTTTTGGCGCGCAGCGCATTCTATGCGGATCATGCAGCGGGCGTATAGGAACGTAGACGGTTCAACACCCAACTTACAACGGTCTTCAACGCAACTCTTCACCTTGAAGTGCTGTCCGGTGTGAAAAACCTGCACGGCGTGGACAAAACTGGGCACTTTGTGGTACTTTGTGATCAGGCAGCTTGGGTCGGTGTCACAAGGAGTTCCTCTCAAATTTCTGTAGCACGCGCCAAAATCTACACATCTGTCAGGCCAACCTAGCACACAATCACAAACAAAACTAAACAACACGCTGCCGCCACTTGCTGCTTTGGGCTTCAAACTTCAAACTGCATTTAAATGCAAAAAAGAATCCTGGAAGTGCCCAGCTAGTCGGACTGATTGGGTGATTTGAGATTGATTGTTTTAGCTGATGGCTTTCTCGGTTGGTTGCCTTCTGGCCTTTTTGATGGTGACGTTGTTTGTTAGCCTTTAATTCATCCATCCAATTGGGTTCATGAAGAAGAAGGTCCATCGCCCTGCCCATCGCCTCAAATGGAGCGCTTCTCCGTGTCGACTTGGCCCACGTCCTGCCAGCTATGCTTTAAGAGAAAAGGGCTACTCCAACCTAATAGCGATGGGCCACCAACCTACTAGAGATGGCCTCCAGCTCATCGAAGTGCCATTGTGATGTTTGGGGACATTCGTAGGCACAGCAACATACATCCGCAGTCCTTGCAGGATTGATCAGGATTGTAACCGTATGTAATCTTAGTATTCATAGTAGGTCTTCGTTGATCATGTGCTTTCTTTTCTCTCTTTTTCCACGTCGCTTCTCCGGCATGCTCCAAGACCGACCCGAAGTACACTCCAACGACTTGGACGAGGCCGTTGATGGTTCTTCGCAGCCATTCACGGCTGCTGAAAACCCACCCGGACTCCCAAGGTCCTCAGCATAGACGAAAAGACGTTCAAACTGCCTCTGCTGCATGTCCAGCAAATCCTGCGCCCCCAAATTCAGACTCATCGAGTTTCTGAAGCTTAAGCTGCTTGGTTCTGCAAGCTGGTAGATCTCACGTGCAATGAGTAAGACAGTTCTGATATTTCCTCCCGGGGCTTGAGTTCTTTCTCGCTCAGAGACTAAGGTTACGGTGTCTCGCTATAATAGGCTTGCTCATGATATTGTTCAAGTAAAAAAGTACCTCTTTACATCAGAAAAAGGAAAACCTCTTCAATCCTCTTCACCACCCTAGCCATCCCAAAACCAGCAACTTCCCCGTCTCAAGCCCCCAAATGTAATAGAAACAAAGACGGGACCGAATGTACGGGCCAAGAAGGCCAAGAAGGCCGCCTGGAAAGGAGACCAAATGCACAAAGGCCCTGGCCTTATTTGCCATCCGTTCATTGGTCTTTTTCCTTCGTTCATCCGTTTGGAAGCGACCCTGACGCCGTGACCAGCCCTTGGCCCTGCCTGTTTCAACTCCAAGAGCCTCTTGTTCATCAAAGCCTCGACTTCGCGGGTCGAATCCCAGGTCGAAGCCCGAACGAATCGCCCGAGGTCGAAGATGAAATCATGAAGCCCGGTGTTCATTCAGAAACACCCGCCTTAGGAGTGCTAGATCACTGATGAATCATCGGCGGCTATAGTGGAGTGGGAAAGGTGGCTATAGTGGAATCATAGTTGGATGTCACCCATCAGAAGGATCATTTCAATGTCAATTCTATTGAATTCTGGTCTGGGCGACTTCAACACCCTCCCAAAAAGAGAACTATCAGGTGCCAGGAACGTTCTCTCAGGTGGTGTTTTCTCCCAACGAGACTCGAACGGCCCGATCCACCGGGAGCGATCCAAACTGTCGTTGGAGACGCGTTCACCGTCTTCGTCTTCGTCCACCTCGGGGCGTTCGTGAAAAGCCATCGCGAACGACGCCCAACAGTGCAAAGACGAAGCAACGAAGCCGACACAGTGCAATTGTCTGATAAGACAGTTATACATGTTGCTTACTGTAGACAGTTATATAATACAGATTGTGTGTAGCCATTTTTTCTGATTCTGAATATATATGTCTAAAATATGGAGTGGCACAAGTCCATGGTGCAACTCATAGGTTCGATGCTCGGACACGCCACGCGCCACCGGTTTTCATCGATTTCCGCGTCTTTACCTGACCCTTGTCTAGGTGCTTTGGAAGGGGTTCAAGACTGCTCAGCAGTCACTTCCTGACATTGGTGCCAGCAGGCAATCGAAAACTTTAAATGCTGAGATGCTGAGCTACTAGTTAGTAGTTGCTAGAAAGCCTCGGCCTTCGACTCTTTGTCTCTCCTCTGCTAAAGTACCTCAAAAGGCTTCTTGTGACAGAAGGTTGAGGTCCAACAACGCTTCCCCTCATGGTGTCTGTACTTGCCTTTTGCTTCATGGCACCCCACATGGCCATAAGCGAACCCGCCACGGCAGTGAAAACCGAGCAAATCATGAAAAAGTTCTGGGACACAGTGCAAATGTAAATGGTCTGCAGCAATGCTTGCGGGATGTCTTCCCAAACTGTGCGAGAAATCTGTTGCGCCTTCAGGAGGTTCACCTCATATCTATCCAGCTTCAGCCGCAAAGGAATGGTGTCCATGTGCAACACCCTAAAAAAGCAGGCCTTGGATGCATCCTGAAATGCCACGTATGCGAAGGCACACCATTGCAACATCACGACACCTACGATGTAGAAGACCAACATTGCCGTCCCCAGTCGTTGGGACGCAGGAGTATCGCAGCTTAAGGCAATGGCAGCACTGACGCCATCTTGGTAGGCATCGAAGTAACCTAGGCATGACAAAGCAAACTTCCGAAGAAATCTGCCAGGAGACAGCTCCTCCACAGTCAAAGTGGGATCACATCTGTACAAATAGAGTTCGAACATCTTGGTGGCAGTGAATAAGAACAGGAATGCCATGTGCATCTCCCAATAAAAGCCCACATCGCAAGTTAGCGCATTGAGGAACATCCCCGGGGTGACGGTGCAGCAGCCAATATACAAAGCATAGAGGATCAGGAGGGCGATGGAGCGCCATGCGACAAATCCTCAGACTTCCACAGAAGCACAAAAGGAGGACTGTGAGTCCCTTATGAAGATTCCTCGTCATGCCCCACTTGAACAGAGATTCCGGGGGTTTTGATCTGGGAAAGCTCACAACATCTTCAGAGAAATTCAGAGACCCGGGAGTCTGTGGCTGCCTGCCCCGTCAGCTTCAGGCGTCCCACTCGGTGTTGGCTCTCTTGTTGAATGCAGCCTGAGGTATTGTTGGAAAGCAACACGCAGGGCGAACATGGCCAAGGCACCGCAGCATCCGGCAATAATTCCTGGTGACACCACCAGAAAGCAAGAGCGGCAACTGCTTCCCTAGGTTTCCCTACCAAGTAAACACATGAGCTAGCACTATCACCATTCATGAGACAAAATACAAGCCGTCCACACAGAATCCAGAATCAGAAACAAAATCCCTGTCTTGGCAGCCAAGATTCCCAGAAACAGCATTCTTCTGTCTGCCAGGTCGCTATCACTAAAATGACTTGTGGAGAAAGAATCATCAGACGGAGACATGCGGAATGTCTCGTTCATGGTCTCATTTGTTTGATTATCAGCTTGTTGTGCGCGACGTCCTTGCAAGAGGAAGTCTTTGGGCACCATAGCTGGTGTACATTGAAGAAACGCCGGCGGATTGCGCTTAGCTTGAGACAAAATGCATCTCTGAAACACACAGATCTTCTCATGATGCCAAAGCCACGTCTCCATGTCTCGCATATCTTCTAGAGAGGTTTGGTTGGGGAGATGTGACTGAATAACAAGGACATGCTTACTTACCTAGCCTCCAAGCTACTAGCCACGGCCTCCAACCTAACAGCGATGGCTTGAACCTACTAGCGATGGCCTCCACGCATATCTTCTGAAAAACAAAGACATACATACTTCCTACAGGCAACGGCTCTGCGCAGGGCGTGCTCATTCCACATTCCAGCCCACTCTGTCTGGGCATCCGGACACAGTTTGCCATCCGGCATGGTCGATGATCACGTTGCACAAAGAAACTATAAATAGAAACAAAGCAAGCGCTGCGGCAATAATCAAATGCTGCCAGTTGCTCTGCAACGTACGAAGAACAATAGCCCCACTTCGTTCCAAAGCTGGATAAAAGCCGAGAATGAATTTGAAACAATATACCTAGGGACAGTAAAGCTCTCCTTCCCGATGTTCCCGACAACTGGTCTCTCCATGAAATGTCATTACCCATCCAAGCCGCTAGATCCACGTTGCGTGCCTCGCACCCAACGGCCGCAGGAATGGATTTCTCGCTTTTCTTCTCACACATCAATCTGGAGGAAGTCCATACCAAGCAGCACCCGACAATTAAGTCAGTACATTTCTACGTCAATTTACTCCAGGTTCTTCGCCCAAAAGCCAAAACAAACATCGACCAATGGACTCTCAGCAAAGTCCTTCCACATGGCAAAATAAGGATATCATGCCAACAAAAAGCAACTATCAGAACTTTGAGTGATGGTGAGAAACTCCCCCAACCTTTGGCATGGCATGGGCTCAAGGTATTTCTGTCATTACTAATGTGTGCGGTATGCCCCATCCAAAACAAATTCACGGATCTTACTCCTTGGAACGGCCCGAAATGCGTGACCGGCCTAGCTCCACTTCTCCACCCACCCTGGCCCCACTCGCCTGGCCCTTCAACCTGGCCACGCCCTTCACCAGCTCATCCAAGGTGACCAAGCCATCACCGTCGTCGATCCTCAAAACACCAGGATCGCTCGTTTCGCGCGTTTCACGTAGATCGAGGATCGCACGAGGATCGCGCGAACCCGGGGACTGTGCGAAGGTGTGGCGTGGCCGAAGATTTGTTCGGGGGCGGCCTCTTTGGGGAGTCGCCAAGCACACAACTATAGGTTGGAGGCCATCGCCAGTAAATGGAAGTTTGTCGAGCGGACTGAAGCTTCGAAGTGGACCCATGGATTTGTTTCAGGTGATTGGACTGGTGCTTGTTCATATTTGGTTGGTGTGGCGGGGTTGGTATGCCAGGGCTGGGCCCTAGCTTCGATGCTGCATGAAAAGCTGTATGGAATCCACGCTGCCCTTTCGCCTATGTTTGTCTAAATTATAATCCCACTACTTTCCGCAATCACTTCCAACATTTGGCTCCTGATCCGGCTTCCTGACCCCCCAAAATGCATCCAACCACGCCCTGTCTGACAGGGTAAGTGCTTGGGTCAGAATGATCGATCCTGGCATAGACCCAACCCAACTCTTCTACTTCAAGAGATTGGGGCACATCTGGCACATCTGAACTCAAGCCTGGCACCTGACTCGCGGCTCGGTGGTTTCAACTGGTGAAAAACATACATAAGCACTAGTGGGTTCAATGATACCAAGGAACGGTTGAAATGAGAAAGATCTGACACCACCACCCAAATAATTACTGCTTTTCATTACCTCACATGGGCCAACATCGATTCACCTCGCTGGAAGGTCCCTAATCACATGGACGTAACCAGGGAGAAAGTCCTCCATCCGCCTCATGCAGGTGACGGCCCATCCGTGCAGCTGCGGAGCATGGTGAACAAGGCATCACCGTCTTGCTCGGTCCAAATATCGAGCTCCATCGACGACAACCTGGCATCTGGCCAAAAAAAAATCACTGCAAAAATCTATAGATTGCTTCCCTTCCCCCGGCATAAGCACGTTGTTCACATCATGGCTGAGCTTCTCAGATCACAGAATGACGAATTTTGAGCCGACCTGGTTAGCCCAAACACGCCCGGGCCAAGCAAATCCGCCAAAGGGGTTCTCTCAAGTCAATCTGAGCTTGGCCAGGATAATGAATTCATCGCCTTGAGCCTTGAGCTGGTGTCCTGGCACTCCACCCAGACTGAAGCCTGCCAAGTAGCCATTGACGAACCTCCTTATCCTGCAAGAGCTGATGGAATTCCTCAGTCGAGTCAAAATGACACCCGACGGTGTCCCTACACTTGGCTTGACAGTGTCAAGAATTGCATCATTCATCCGGCACCAAGGTTGCACAAACTCAAAATGCGTCCCTCTGAAAGAAAACATGTTGCCTTCCCAAGGCTCCTCCAAGTCCCAAACCAGTTGTTTTCGGAGTCAGCCCGTTGTGGCTGCGCACATTGTGCCAAGAATCAACGCAGTCAATGCAGCCATTAGAGTCCAAATCTGCATGTTCAAACAAGCGACCCATTTTCTCCTGGAGGTGAAAAACAAATGCCTTCGACATGCAAAACCTAAAATTAAACGCCCCTGACTGGCCTGCTGTTCTTGGTTGATTCTTCCTGCTGCTCGCCAAGCGACATATCATATTACAGACCTTCACAGTCCAAAACACAGTTGCATGAATGTGTTTGGATAAATCGTGTTATGAAAATACCTACATGAAAAGACACTCTACTAGGCACTCTGTGTGCAGGAGGGGCCAAATGCGGGTATCTATGTGGGATCTCAGAAGCGGGTTCCCCTCAAGATAACAAACCCGTTCTCCTGTTCGGGAGTGATATACTATATTGACTGCATTGAACTGCCATTGAATGTCGGCGTCCGTGCGCGGTGTGGATCCCAACATCTCTGGCGAGCTACAAAGGACCCTTCCATATGGCATAGGGAGAAGACATATGCCCATTCCCTTCCAGGTGTGGCTCAACCAATGTCCTTACAGTTCCTGGCCACTTGATCTGAGGCGGAACCTGGTGATCCGTGGACGTCATAGCCGGTTTCACGCCAGTGACGGGGTCCGGCCCCAAGCAGCCCCAAGTCCTTGTGGAGCCTCACTGCTCTCTCCTTGCTTTTCAACATAATGCCTCAGCTGGGTGTCGACACCCTGAGGAGAAGGCAATCTTCCCAAGCATGGCTTTTGGTGGCTTGGAAGTCCGACAAGGGGAATGCCAGCAAGCAACAAGAAGCTACTAAGTAACAAGGGCCTCGCTAACTAACTAGTTGTGTTGCCCTTGTTGCTAGTTGCGATGCACTTGTTACTGCTAGCGATGCACTTGTTACTAGTGGATAGGCCAGAAAGAAATCAGGGCAAGTTAAAGCCGCTCAAGCTTCCCTTCGGAAGCTGAGAAAAATGCTGCACTAGGGGTAAAATGAGAAGTTCCAGGTACAAAACTGGCCGACATCACCCGACCAAGCACATCGCGGATCAGCAAGTAGTTATAGATATTTGTGTGAGAGTTCCGTTCCAGAGTACGTCGCAGTCTAGCATAGTGTAGCTCTCTGAATCTGGTCCAACTTTTGACTTGCCAATTGCTGCGTTTTCCAAGCCTTTCCATGTCTGTCGCAAGACAACTTCTTGTGCTACAAGCTTCCGTGCTTCTACTCCTAGAGGTGTGTGCCAGTCTATGCATATGGTGGTTGGGGCTCAAACATGCATGGTCATGAGACCGTCTGTCAGCTTCTGCCAGGCGGCTATCATCCATGGAAGCGACTTTCATCGTTTCGGTCAGGAAAACTCCCGTAATCACTTTAATCACCTCAAGGTCAACTGCAAATCTCAAACACGGTGAGCTTCTTTGGGTTTCACGCCACGTTTGGGTTCATTGCGCAACTGGTGGCGTCAAGCTCCAATTAGGAGATGGAGTGGTCGATTGTCACCAGGCGTAGTCAGTCCAATCTTGGAAACGGTTCGGTGTCCCTTGAGGCTTCTTGACGGAACCCCAAGACTGGGACTGAAGCTGGATAACTGTATGTACCTCAAAACACCACTGGTCAGCACTCAAAATATCTCAAAATGATCCGAGACCAACCACTGCTGCACACAATACCATACAATACCGTTCCAACCTCTTAGACATGTGGAAATCGTGGAAAACATTGTGCCACTCCTTGACGTGCTGTAGGTCTTTTCGTTGCCTTTCATATCATTGCAACATTATATATATATGTTACCATGAACATCCAAAACCATGAATGAAATCCAAAGTCTTTTTCCCTGAACCTACTGTCTACTGTTTCTAGATATCATGTCTAGCTGCAAGTAGTCACCACCCAATCAAGCTGGCTGATAGGGGGCGTAGGGTTTGGCGCGCCCAAGCTTGGTGTCTCATTCGCCCCTCGCACCACATGACACACGGCGTGGTCACACGGCGAAGGGTGTGGAAGGCCGAAGCAAAAGTCGTTCCTGGACACTGCCGTATCAAATGCTTGTGACCAAACCTACTAGCGATGGCCTCCAGCCTAAGAGCAATGGCCTCCAACCTGGGAGCGATGGTCCAAAGAAACACTTGACCTTGCACCATGCAGTGCCATCTTTATAGGCGTCCCTACCACCACTCTGTCCACAAAGCCACTCTGCCGAGACACTGCAAAGCCAAGAACGACTTGGAACGCCAGCGTGAAAATGGTGTACCATTCTGAGACCTTTTCCTCGACAAAAAAAAGCACGAACTACAGCGCCAGGTGCGAGTGACAGCTTTGATGCCCCTCTATGGCTTTGCTGGCGTATTATTGTATCCCATCGCCCCTGACAGTGGATGATGGTTCGTAGGGACTCATACCAATAAGCAATGACAGTGATCAAGTTTTACCGACTAGCTCTGGGCAATACCTGTGCATGACTTCACTCAGGTGGCAACTTTGGTAATCTTGTTTGGTTTCTGTCTTGTGCCACTATGTTTACAGAGTGCCGTGATAAAAGTGCTCCACTACAATGAAATGTAGCTGTAGTAGGTAAATGTTTTCCACACCCTTGTCACCTCACAAAAGCTGGCCTGGCCTAGCTGTGCAAAGCTTTGTGAGGCAAGTAATCTTCACTAGGCAGTCAGGTATTGATTTGCCAGACTTGTAGTAAGTTCATTGACAAGGAACTAGTGCCAGTGCATGCAGCTCCTCACATCTAAAAAAGGAAGAACAACATTGTGCAACCCCACCCAAAGAGCCAAGCAGCCGAGAGTATTCTTGAGATGGGCACCCAATTCCCCAGGGTCAACTCCTTGGGCCATCAAACATCAAGTTGATGGATTTCAGCTATATAAACTGACTGGTGCGACGAAAGTAGGGAATGAGGGAAGTTTCGCCCCCAATAGAGATTCCTTTGGATCCAGCCACCCTCAGCCACCCTACGAGTCAGTCGCACCAGTCAGTACACCTCTGCGACGAAACTGGACTTCGATCCAATGGCGCTGGAGTCCGAGCGAAACCACCGAGACCAGCATTGATTGAGAGTATCGGCTCATGTGAATCACAAAAGACAGGGGGTCCTGGGCGAGTAATCCTCTTGATTTCAGTGCTTGCTTGGATACTTGCGGAATTGAGTTAATTCTAGACGAGGAGGCTCACACAGCTGCAGCTAATTGTTGTTTCTTTCCTTTGCGCCTTGCCACGGGACCTGTGCCTGAGCCTTCACGATGCGCTAGACCGATGCCCACAGGTCCTGTGCAAATGCCAGTCGTCCATGTGGCCGGGCTCTCGGCTCATGGAGTCAAGGGGCGAACATGGACAACATCGATCTCGAGAAGGTGCCAAAGTAACGATAGACCTCCATGCCTCAGCTGCACCCATGCCACATGCCACATGTGTGGTGTAAAACAACACCCAAACCTTGTGGCGAAAACCTATGAAGATATCAACCAAATTGAGTATATCATGTGTGCCGTGTGACATGGTTTGGGTGATGCATAGAAGTTGGCCATGAAACTTGCAGTGCAAAAAAGGTCCTTTCTCTCTTTGGAGGTGCACTCTCGTGGCAATTTCAATAGCAAAGAGGCTGTATACGATATCCAACTACCATCGGGCATCTCATACTACACAAAACGCCTCAAACCTCAAACCGGGAACGGCTGGAAAGTTAGCACCGCTGTTCAAATAAACAGCCAAAAAACAAGCCAACCACGAAAGCTCTAAGGTCAAAGGCCAACGCCTGTCATCCTGGAGTCCTTGCAGCCAAGTGACGGTCCTCAGGAGGGTTTGACAGATCCGTGCAGTAGGGTAGCCTGCGTGCGCGGCACAGCAGGCTACACTTGCCGGTCTGCCGGTCTGGGAACACACAGCGGCCGGTCTGGTGTGCCAAGCATTTGTTCAAAGGCCCCTTCAGCAGCATAACCATAACTCATTTGAGTTGTTGATCTCAGATCTCGAACAGTTCACTCTTCAGCGCCAAGCTGCAAGAAGGTACTAAGAATCAAGGCCACGGAGAGTTGCACGATACAAATCAAGGCACCGGACCAAAGTAACGCCGAAGCGCCTGGGCGGAGCAAGTCACCAAGCTGCAGATTTTTTCTGAAGTATCTGGCATACCATACCTTCTTGGACACACAGAGCCTAAACAGCTACGCAACCTCCTTATGTTTTTGGTGTCACCGCACCGCTCCCGATGTTTTTGGGGATTTGCAAATGTGTTCTGATCTCCGCAGGGTCACTGGGGGCAAAATGATACGCATTTCAATGCTAGTGGGTTGACAACCGCGCTAGCAGTCGTGCACTTTTTGGTTGGTTAACCACTAAGAACTTGTCCGATGTTGTTGGAATAGGCGTGAAACATGCATTTTGTTAAGTTGAAGCAGGGCAACGTTTTTCTTATTCGTCATTGTTCACAGTTCTTTTTTTGTGTGCTTGGGCCGGAATGTCCTTGCATTTCGGACATGTTGCACTCGTTGGTGGTAGTGTGTTGGATATGCTTGGAAGGTGATGCCACATCCACAAACGCTTTGGAAGATGGGTGGGTTGGGGGGGGCTAATTGCGTTCGGTTGAATGTGCTTGGAAAATGATACCACATGCACGCACACGCTTTCAAGGATCATGCACACACGCTTTTGAAGAAAGTGGATTCCTCTCTTGAAACTCGTGGACATAACGTTTCGTCGTCCTATTACAAATATCAATAGAAATTATATGTACCTATATATGTAACTATATTATTATATTTTGCACCAGCAAAATCTACAGTAGCTGTTTGAGAGCTCGTCCGAAGGGACACTGCTGACAGATTAGGTACACTAACCTGAGGCTAACACGGGCTCTGCTGCATAACTTCCTCGCACATGACACATATAGAATATACCACCCAATCGCCCAGAGCTGGAGGAAGTTCTCAATGATTTTCTTCCACCGCTCGAAGTCTAAGTCAAGAGGGGAGGAGAATGTGGTGCTTCACCCAAGGAGCTACTGGCAATGGATGCAGTGAGCAAGTACCTCAAGCGGAAGGAGTCGGAGACGTCGGAGACCACCACCGTCGTTAAACGGTTGAAATGACTCGGACAAACGCAACACCACTACCTGGGCACGGGAGAAAGAGTTGGTCTGAATGAGAAGGTGAGAAGGTATTGCTCAAACTCTGTACACTAATAAAGTGTGATTTAAAGCAAAACTAACAACATGACATCTGGTGGCTTCGTGTGGTAGCAACCCACGCGCAAGACCAAACGGAGACGAGGACTCAGCGACACTGCAAATGGGACATCAACACTAACTGACTCCCAATGGAAGTTGATGATATAGATTTTTCCGCTCCGCCCGTTGCAAGTTGCCAAAAGTAAGGCAAACATTTGCCCAACTTAGAGTTTGGACTGCAAATATGACCACCAAATCGTCCATGACCAATGACCATCAAATCGTCATCAAAACTGAATCGGGTTGGCTTTAACAAATGGCTAACAAATGGGATCTCGGCACACCTGATGTCCATGGTGCCGAGCGACAGCGAATCAAATGATTTGATGGATTTCGCCAACTTGATCAACCGCAGCAGCTTGGCCAAACGAAATACACCTCAAGTTTGGAGACATGTGAACAAGGAGGTGGGGTTGGGAGGACATGTGAACAACGAGATGAAACAATTGTCGAGCAGTTGTATCATTGTAATTCATTATAGGTCTACTAGTGGGTCGATCTTCCATGGCCTCGTCACTTCTTTTGGAAGGCTGGAAAGCGATGCACACTCCCCAAAAACCAAGCTCCGAGCAATTCTCTTTGCCATGAAACATTGCACTTGGTTTGGGTTGTAGAAGGGGCTAGAAATGGCTAGAATTGCTCCTACCCAAGTATTAACCCTCCATGAAACAAAAAGCAACGGCCTATCACAGTTTTCCAAGCTGCACTCTTCCAAACGTGCTTCAAGCCGGGGGCCCTGGATTGAACGCCTCTAAGATGTTTAACGTCAGCTGAGGATCGAATCAACATAGGATCCAAGGGGAGGACATCAATGATCCAGAACATCACGATCAGAAGATCCAAGTAGTTCCAACAATCCTGACAAGGATCGTTTCACGAACCTACTGGCTGCGAAGAATGATAAACTCTCTTTAAACACATGTTCCACCCGAGGTTCCTCGGAGCAGGGATGAGGAGGCTGGTTTTTTTCAATGTTTTCCATTTCCAACTTTTTCATGTGACCAAATGCCCCATAATGTCAAGGACCTTGTTCAAAAAAGCATCCTTCAAAAGACTTATCTTATGCCCACTGCGTGATCAAGAGTGCAAAATAGTGCGAACAATCAGGATAAATTTGTTATTTTATAGTTATTCACATAATATATATATATATATATTTGTTCATTAATTCATCATTCTACATCCACACCACCAGGACAGCACTCGGGACAGCTTCCAGCCAGGGAGACAACGAAACTTGGAGCAGCCCTTCCCAGAAAACCGTTCGTCGCCTTGAAGAAGTCGCATTTGAGCCCAGCTAACTTCATCACCAGCTCGCAGGAAAAGGCGAGCCCAAAAAACCACTCCGAAGCCTCCCGGCTTGGCGGATTCCGGACCTACTGCGCCCGGATTCAGTGCTTCCACCGAGGAAGCTCCGGTGAAACCGCCAAGCGAAACGCCCAAATCTAAGGAATCAAAAGGCTGCACCCAACGCCCCATCTGCTTGCCCAACAGCTTTGGCCACAGGCTACTATCCCAGTCACCCGATTTTGGGGCCACGGGGCGGCAACAATCGAACGGTTCCGTCACGTCTGGCCGTCGAACAAATCTGAGAGTGTTTGCAAAAGGCCGGGGTAGGGCACATATGGTCCTATATCAAAACAACAACGATCCCACTTGTCTGGCTCTCCCACAGCCCTCCTGCGTACGGGATAAGCAGTCTCATGTCCTTCCGGTGCTTTCCAACATTCCGGCTGCGTCAACACCTCTCAAACGTGCGCACATGTGCCTCGAAGGTATCCCGGGCCCAGGGCCAATGTTTTGAAGTCACACTGTCCATGTAAGGGTAGTTGATCTCCTTGCCAGCGGAGCTGGAGAACTCAGAGCCCTGCGCTGGAAAAGGCCAGCGCCCTGATTAGTAAGGAAACATGATGTCGTTGACTCCACCTGAAAATGCTAGAAGTCACAATTATCTCCTAAGAACCGCTAGCCTTCTTCAACTATCATCCCATGAATTCTTGAGCCGAGGCACAAGGCCAACTAAGAGCCCATTGAATTGGTATTCCTCAAAGGCGAGCACATGGGCACGTTGCATCGAATTGCAAGTGACCCGGCTCGTCTTTCTTGCACGACGCGCAAGTACTCAGTACTTAGTTGGACCAACTTGGGGGTTCTCAGTTCTCCATTCGGCGCAAGTGAAGCAAGGACCAACTAAGTTAGATAGAACTTGCTACTATTTTCCTCCCGAGGCATGTGAGGCGCTCACAGTCTGACGGAGTTTTTGTAGCAGCATGAAGTTGGATAATGAGCACGCCCACAAAGATTGGACAAAACATGAAAAAACAAGTTATGCCACCTATTGTATGGTGGAAGGACATGAAGTAACAACGTCGAAGGCATCTTTGGGATCAGTGTGCAAAGTCAAACTCAGCTTGATTCAAAAGCACGGCTATGCTCAAGCAGCAAACCAATTGCTCTCAAGATTTGCCTAGCTGAGTTGCAAGGGCCATGAAAATCGTGTTGATCAGAATCAAAATCGCAAAGGACGTCTCGAAAAATGGACCTCTCAATGCAATGAAAGGCAAGAAACATCGCGAAGTGAATATTCCCACCTAAACAATGGCCACTGTCAAATTGGAGGATGTTGACTAACACTCCCTGCCAACGACTTGAGGTTGGGGAAGAGCCGGGTTCCTTTCTGACATGTCTTCGTTCCATTCTTGGCCATCCTCACTATCCGACACCATGCCATATTTTAAAACTAAAACGTTCTAAATTAAACCTAAAACTCATTCAGCACTTTCTGTGTTCGGTGCCTTTCACAAAATTCCGCATGGAGGAGCGATCGATGTGAAAGAGCCCCTTGTCCGGATGTCGATCCCCATAGATGAGCGACCTGCGTGCCGGAGTGGAGGGATCCACGCAAGCAGCAAGCGTCCGCTTGAATCTTTCGTAAATCCATGCTGGAATAAAAATGGCTCTTTTCAGTCGGTGTTCTTGTACTGGTACTTTCCACAGCCCGGCCCTACTCATCTCATAAGCTCCGCAATCTAGATTCTAAGATTCTAGCGTTGATATCTGGGAGGTTCTAGGGCCGATTCTAGGGGGGGAGGTCACTTATTAGATCCCAACCAGTCCTTGGGACATTGGACGCTGTGCCGAAACACGGATCCAGAAATACGGATCCGGTCCGGGACGGTTGATCGATGACGCACCTGGTGGTTTTCTTGGTCGATGACCTAGAGCCGTGGACACGGTCGGTAGGACCGGAGCGGTTCGGACGCCTGTCTCAGTGTCGGGAGCGTTTTTTTCTGATCATGGAAACGTGGTTCATAAACACTCCCTCCAATTTCCAAGTTCTCAAGAATAAGTTGTTCAAGAATGTTCAAGAATATTCGTCACCAGTCACATGTGCTGGTTCCCCCGGTGGGCACAAAGAGCATGCTATGCATCCCACGAAGCCAAGTTTGTTGAACTACAACTTAAAGGGTGCTTGCTGTATTCACCGTGGTGAGTGGAACAACCAGAGCAGTACCTGTGCCCCTTTCTTTACAGGAAAAACCGAGTTTCGACTCCGTCCCATCGTCAATCCTCCCCTCAAATTCACACGTCCGCATCGTGCGCTGTCGCCTTTCGCGTCGCTGCCATGTCGCTTGGACATCTGCGACCGGCTGCTATTCGCTTTGGTCAATGTGGGGCTGGGAATCCTCGTCTGCGACGGCTCCGTCGGAGCTCGAACACTAAGGCCATGGGAGTGAACACTAAGGCCTCGTCCCGAAGCCGTTCGATCAGTTCAAGGGCCTTGGGAAGGATCTGTTGTAAAATCCTTGAAGTAAAACGGTTGTTTGGGATTCAGACCATAAACACAAGGGTGGGCCAGGAAGCCTGGGGCAAGATCGACGTGGCTGGGATGCGGTCGCAGCAGGAAGCCTGCGGTGGGCGCATAGGCCCCATTTTGGAAAACCAAAGACTTCCGACACCTGAAATTCGGATAGAGTTCTTGCTTGGGTCCAGCTCCCAAAACCGGTCTCGCATCATTTTTGCTTGTCAGTCCCAACATGCCAATCCTCTTCGCCCAAGGCCAACGGAACATGGAGCCCGTAAAGGGCTTAGGAGAACCAAACAGGGTGGAGAACAACCCGGCAACCACACGGATTCCTTGCGTATGTTCAGCTCCCCACTAGACATCAGCCCGCAGTCGCATTTCAAATGCCAAGTGTCACATCCTCGGACGGGTCCTGAGCAAGAGCAGGGGCACCTGCGTGCAGCGCAGGGTGCAGAAGTTCCATAAACGAAACAAACTGGAATCACGTCACACGTCTGTTTCATGTTTTTCTTCTCTCTCTAGTGGCAGCAAGGGTTGAGGGAACCATCTGATATGTCCAACTGTGTGACTTGTCATGTCAGCTTTCCTGTGGTGTCGATGAAGTAAGCATCAAGCTGAACATGATACGCGTTTTATTATATAAGTTGACAGCTGAGCCTGGTGGGGCTTCTCCAGCACTGTCAGGGCCTGACTTTGCGCACAGTTCAGCAACAGGGCACACACGACCTCCAACGTGAAGAACTCCAACATGCAAACTGTTGTCGGCAAGGCCGTTCAGTGCCCTGGGTCGTTATAGAGATCGAATATACACTCTCTGGAACTCACATAGAAGTGGAACATGGTTCCTTGGAAGACCATTTTCCATCCTCTACAAACCAAGGGTTTTCCACTTCCGTTTCAGGGAGACTAATAGATTGTAAATGATTGTAATGCAGTGGGCTGTGCAGCTTGACGGCTCACGTTCACGTTCCCGTTCGATACATCGGCCGAACACGACCCAAATCGGCACCTTTTCTTGGTTGCCAAAGTGATCTGCCCCTTATGTAGACTCTTGAGGACCATACACCACCTCATTTGAATTGAACATCCTCTTCAAAGGGGGGTTTAAGAGTCTCAAGAGTCTACAATACCCATGATTCCAGATTCAAAGGCGCAACTGCACCTTAGACTCTTCGACACCAAGAGTCTCTGTTTAGTCTGTTCGCTTCCCATGCCCACGAACACCCCCACTCGGACGACAGGTGTCTCGCACGCAAACGCACGTGGAGAGCGAAAAGCGCGCGGAGGCGCCTGAAACTAACTCGATCGCCTGCACTTGCTCAGTGGATGTGCCAGCTGTGCCTGGATCACACCCTTGGAGGCTGGGTGAAATTCAGGGCAACCCTTGTCCAGCTGCACAGGAACTCTGGAAAGGAGGCTTGGGTGTAGATGGAAGCATGATGTTCACAAGCAGCTGTTTACATTCCCTAATTCTCCGCCGTTGCTTTTCCCAGCTCTGGAGGATATGTTGTACAATCAGCCCTGGAAGATCTTCAGCTATAACATGCTATTATAACACGATTCACTCTTCTTCTTCGGGATGTCATCTGCCGGCCTAGCTCAAAACGATACCCTGATCTCTGCTCCCCCTCTTTCTGTCAGTGGCCTGAGACGCTGCAGCCTGCTTTGCGGCTGGCCTGACGACAAGTTTTGACAAAGCAATGCCAAGCATCATTCCAGCACCACCGGCACTCAAGTCCAGCCAAGCGAAACGCCAAAAAAACTCAAAGCCATGTCGGCTCTACCATGGAGGCTGCAGTCCCAAGGGCCTATATTATATCATTCATTAAGGCCTACCAGGCTACCAATCCCATTCCCACTGATTGTTTTCCCAATACATGTTGCGCCAAGGAGGTCCAAGGGGCATGAACCGGGCCCAAAGACTTGGGCACTTCGTTGATGAGGGCTTCGGGCTTGGGCTCGAACTCATCCTGGCAACATGCCATCAACTCATGGCCAAGATGCGGAAATTGCAAATGACAACTCGTACATGCTTGGCTCGAAGAATAACCTTCCACTTCCTAGCTCCCAAGTCCTTCTGCATCAGTCTACTCACAGGGCAACTGTAGGGGTGGCTCAAAACATGTTCTGCATCATCGACCACGCCGGAAACCGAAAATGATCCATTCTCTGTCTGCCCAAGAATGACACGGAGTTGCAGAACGAGATTGGGTCGAGCATGGGAGAATGGCCAAGATATCTACCTTCAATCAACAGGAGCCACTTCAAATCACACCGTGCTGTGCTCAAGACAGCACGAGATATCCCAAACAAGTCTGAAGAGCTAGCAGCTAGCAAGTCTTGGATCGCTAAACATCAAACAATTTCAACATCCTTAGCCCGAGCACTTCTACAGTTTCAGAGTCGATGGCACTGGACCCCAAGATGTCCATCTACAAATGGGGGTAAACCACCCAAACTTGGGGCCCCACAAGTGCCATCGAACCTCTGAAACACCCCTACTAACTTAAGTGGACAAACGGTATGTCGGTATGTCCCTATTAATTTATATTCTTATGTGCTTGGGAATCTGAAACCCACTGAGCCGTACATCAAAAAACACCATCCACCCTCTCCGGGAGCGCCGCAACTTGGCCTGCACGAGCCGTCGGAGAAGAGCCTCATGCCGAGCCAACAGCATGGCCTGCATCGCTTGACGCCTCGGGTTAAAGATAGGTCGGTGCCATGTGACGTCACAAGAGTTTTAAACAAAATCTTGATTGAAGGATCAATGAAAAGTATACTTGATCAATCAATCAGAATCAATGCTCCCGTCGCAAAATGTCGCAAGTAGTTGATGCGACTGAAAGATTGATCTGGATTCCTCGTCTCTCGCCGAGCTGCTCCTGCCGTAGCTCCGCTGAAAGCCAGCGCGCAGAGTCCTCGCAAGGGAGAACCGTCGCCGGGTCGCGCCAACGGGGTGCGGTCGCGGCAGCCGAAGCAGCGATGCAGCCGAAGCATGCGCGTCGACATCGGCGGTTTGAGTGTCGAAACTTCTCCTCGGTGAACTTCGGCGTCCGCGCGCCTTGGGGTGGATCAAGAACAAGGGTGGTCCAGACAGCCGATCACAAAGGCTGCTCAAGCTGTTAGCAGTTTGGGGGGGGAGAAAAACTTGGCCCATTTCACACTCAATTGTGCATTTGACTTTCAAAACTCTGCCGTCTGTAGCCAAAACTCATGAACAAACGCTCGAGGTGAGCCAAGTCACTGCATTTGCAGCTCATTTTTCCATCTACCCTTGAGCGCCCTCGCATTTCTTTACATGCATACTCATGATGAGAAAAAACTATATCTCTGGAACCTTGTCAGTCCCCCATTCAGTTCAGGAATTGAAGAATACATGTATGGAGATATTTGAAGCATTGTGATCTTGGAGAACATGGTCATGAGGACCTCACTGCCACTCCCCAATGGCAAACCATATGCCCAACTTCTCATGACTTACACACTTGCGGTCAGAAGAGGCATCGTATGCATCCCAAATAATATACACATGCCACAACAAATCGCAACAACATGATTGGTAACTTACGACCTGCCTCAACTTGGCATACATGGCTTTAAGCCTTCAAGCTTAAAAAAACTCACCGCAAAAGACTACTCTGGAACAAATAATAAAGTCGGATGATGCTTTGACCCATGTCAGGCAAACACTAAGTGGACTCCGGGCTCACCCAGGGACCCATCGGTTTGGTAGCCTCCATGCCACCAAACCAAGGTTGAGCTGAAGTCTTGACGGTTTCTTGATCTGTTTCAGATCTTTCTAAGGCCCCCATCCAGGTACACTCCGATCTGAGTCAAATCTTTGCCATTTATAGAATATACCATTTAGGTCGGCGACTCGACTCTCAGCTGCACACTCTTCACACTCCGTGGTGTGTCTGTGCTCTTCGGCCTCAATATCCATTGGGTCCGAAGCCGCACTCAAAGAATAGCTTTCAGTATATAGGTTCGCTAAATGGTTCTTGGAAAGCTTATGTGTATGAGTTGCTTCGGCAAGAACGTCCTTTTTGCCTCGCAACAACGCAGGCAGTAAAATGAACAACCTGTTTGCTGCAAGACGAAAAAACAAAGTGCCTAAAGGAAGCAAATGTCTCAAGCCCTTACAGCCCCGTGCTTGGCAAGACCTGATCACTGATCAGTGGTTAGCAAATATGGATATGACTTGACAGAATCTTCACAGTCCGGAATTCAGCCCAGCTGTTGGTTTGTAGGGGTCATTGGATTAGATATCACCCCTCAGGAATCTGCAGAACCCCGTCACATACCCCAGCACCTGCCATATTCTTGGCAGATACCAAAACAACCTTGAAAAATGAAGGAACATAAAACAAGTCATACAAATCATAAAACAACAAAACATATCTCTCCACTCCACTTATCTAACTCTTTGTGCTTCATTTGTCTCAACTTCTGCCCAGCAACGACATGGACATGGCACGAGGAACCTCGCGTTCGCTCCGTCCCGCTGTCCCCGCGGCGCCGCGGTGAACGAAGCCGGATCGGGGCCGGGCCGTCGCGACTGCGGTCCGCAGAGCGGCGGCGGACGCGAAAGGATCTGCCAAATCTGGGAAAGGACGCTATGAACGGAGCAAGGTTCGCTACGAAGGAGCTACTTAGGCTAGGGCATCGCGACTCGAACGGAGCGACTAGGGCATCGCTACGAACGGGGCGACCCTGGCCGTAGTACGTTCGTAGCATGGATGCCATAAAAACGTAGCTCCTGGCATCGCTACGTTCGTAAACAAGGACGCATACCAATTGCATCGTGTACATTTGGATTGCAAATGGTTGCAAAGCTGCTGAGCCTCTGGGTGGTTTATGAATCAAGTGACGGCTCCCCAGACCCCGATGCAGAGCGGCGCAAGAAGAAAAACTGTTCCCAAGCTGGTCAAGTAGCTTGCGATGCCCAGGGGTGTAAGGAGTACAAGTAGTATCCCCTGTGATGGTCTATGGACTTCCGTGCCTGATCTTTGCCCAGTTTCAATGCTTTTACGTGTTCCATTGGTAATTTATTTTACTGGCTTTTAGGACCGTGAAGAGCAAGAAAGCATGCCACCCAATAACAACTGCTCAACATGAGCCATCAGAACGAGTGTCTGGGGTCTGAAATGCAGAAGAAACCAACGAACTGCTTGATTTGCAAGCTCTTAGGTACAGCGCACAAGCTGCATAAGCATCCGACATGGGCAGTGTAATGCCTTTTTTCCAGCGCTTGCTGTCATGTGTTGCATGTGCATTTGAGCGCTGAAAGCTAACAGGAGGGAAGAGCATAAACAACAGTGAGTGTCCATTTTCAATTTTTAGCCACCATGTTCCATGTCAACGAATCTACTGCTAGATATTGCATGATAGGTATAGATTTTGCACTTGTACTTCTTTTGGGTGGTAATGGCTAAGAAGATTCACTAAAAAAGACTCTTTAGGCCTAGGCTTCTCCTCCTGTGTTGTTTGATGGTACGGAAGGTGTGAGGCCAGCACCACATTGTGCGTGACGCATCAAGTTGAGACATTCGATAGCTGGCAATCCTCTCAAACTCTTCAGTGAAGCTGGCATCTTCCGTTGTGGCCAGCCATGAAACTCGCGCTTTCAAAAGCCGCGCTCACCATGGCGCCAGAAAGAGGGGCAAGTCATGCAGACTTGGCGAGAATGTTCAGAAATAAATCTCTAGCAAAATCAATGTGCCTTTAGAAGGATGGCCTCCGGCAAAGAACTAGGCAACGACCAATTCAGCACTCTATATATTAGAAAATAATGAATAAATGTTCAAAGAGAACGATCCGGCTGACCATCACAACAAATGAGTCTTCAATTCCTTTCCCATCTGCGACAATACGTTTGAAGGTTCCCCGAGTACCGTCTTCTGAAAACTTCTTCTGCGCTGGAGCCCACTGGGAGCCCACTGGCCGCGCACCAGGCGTCTCAGTCCTGGTCGACGAAGGGCCTTTCAAATACCAGGCCTACGTAGCCTCGGGAGCAGGACTGCGCATGTGGCTGAATGGCGACAGCTGCCCAAGCTGCGGATCCCCGTGTTGGAAACCCTGGTATCGCCTCGTTCATCTTCTCACTCCCTAAACTTCAGTCAAAAAAGGCACCAGCATATATACAATCACATGGCCCAATGCCCTCAGCTCCCAGCTATCCATCTTGTTATTCTCCGCGATCTCATCTATGACCTTGCCACCCAACTGATTCACCTGCTTTTCGCTTCAGTGGAATATCTCTGGTCATCTCCATGCTCCACCGCTGAGCGCCAGGCCCGTTGGAAGGGAAAGCCCCGGGGGATCACCAGCACGGCCTAGAGGCCGCCCCGGACTGGAAGCACCGCAAACGGGCGCTCCGAGTCGGGGTTCGCCCCAAGCACTTCATCACACGATGGAGTGCTCACTGCAAGGCTTGCCACATTGGTAAAATACAAAGAAGTGTCACAAAACACGTACCAACACGTGCATTCTGTGACTCTCAACATCGAAACGTCTGCCCCACGAAACGTCTGCTACATCTGTTCCTGGATGTTGATGAGAACCAGCCGACAACTGCCAGGTTGATTGGAGGTGAACCCAAGTGTCGAACACCCTGTCCCAATGTTGTTCCAGGTGTTGTATCGAAATATCGAGCATCCTGTCTATTACACAAGCGCAGTGGCCATGACAGTTCTAAATGAAATCTCACTGGGCATGGCCCTGCCATGTATAAATCCATCAAACTCAGCATGTTCCCCCCTCGTATGTACACAGGGCACACCCAAATCATTGATGGAGGAGAACCACTGACCAATATTTACATACACTATCATACACTTACATCCCCTGTGGGCATCCGGTTGGCTCCAATCATTCCAATGTTCTGCAACTGCACCTTGGTTTGCTCGCCGGCAGACGCGCCCAAGGCTTCAGCCATGCCACCTGTTATCGTGGAGAAGGTCACAAACGATCTGAGCCCCGGAAGGTCGCAAACGAAATCTCCATACCCAAACACTTCATGGGACGGGCATGTTTACGTATATTCGAGTGGTTTCAGGGGTCAGTGCAAACATATACAGTAAATACACAATTAAATACCCGGCATATATAAAATACAGTATCTAGTAATAATTGATATATATATATAATATATATATTATTATGTGAGCATGAACCAGGATGGGGATACGGTACTCCTTTGCGCTTCAGAGTGAACGCGGTGGAATCCAGAAATCTGCCCCAAATCGGCAAGTATTTTCAACGGTCTGTGCGGTGCGAGAGTCATAAACTCAACAGTGTACGTCGGATTTGACTGATCTGAGCTCCCAAACTCCCAAAAACGTGCGGATCAATCTCGCCATTATTTCAACCTGAGTGGTTCACGATCCCAACCTATATAGCCGAACCTGATTCCCAGACCCGAAGGGGTTCTGGCTGACCGTTGCTGGCCGAACCCTCCTGACCCTCGATGTTCGGCCTTCTTCCCCTTCCTCTCCACCGGTCAACTTCCGCTGAGGTGTAGTGATCGCACGCAGGTAATCGCCCACACCTCGAGGATTTTTCCTGTTTTCCCAATGTTTGTCCAAAGGGATTTGATGACGTGATAGCAGCTGGGGGGGATCCGCACAAAAAGTAGAACGCAACAGCCTCAGGCAAGTCATCTTTTGAGCATTTTTTGGGGCTGACACCAGGTCACCAGGTGCGCTTTTCCTCGCAGAGGAACCGATCTTTCGGCTCCGTCACACCTGTTTTTGCAGGCTCGCTTTCTGCGGTGGACACGTCCGCTTTCCGCTTTCTGGGCTGACTGGTGGGGTACTCGCTCTGGAAATCATCATGGAGGTGGATGGCATGGCCCCATGGTCCCTTGGTAGAGTTTTCCACTTCTATGATGATTTCTGGGTGTGCAGGTCGGAATGCCAAACAAAGAGTGTGTGTGTTGTTCCGTTTAGATCCTTTTAGTCTACTCTGTTTTGTTCCATTCTTTTCCCAACCCTCCCTCTCTCCCTCCCAGTGGCACATAGTCCCCACCAGGCAAAGCATGGGACAACTTTACGTACTCTTCAACTCTTGCAAGAAACCCAAATCGCCACTAGTAACAAGTGCATCGCTACTAGTAACAAGTGCCTTACTAGTAGTAACAAAAAGCTTCCTTCGATGTTTCACCAGGAAGACCTTAAATAGACTCTAAAGTTTTTGCAGGCCCTAATAGCTTTAAAGTCTATTTGTTCCTATATAATATAATAGCTTCTTGTTACTACTAGTAAGGCACTTGTTACTAGTAGCTTCTTGTTTTGCAAGAAACCCAAATCCGACACCGGCCAAGCATCGAATGCTTCCATCCTCCTTTGCACTGCCTCCATCCACCAGGTCTGTGACCTCCGCAGCGATGCGTTGCTCCCTGAAATCTGAAATCAACCCGATAAGCGGTTGTAGCATTGGAGGGATTCATCTTCAACCAGCTCCCTAGATCTGGTCCCCTAAATGGATCCTCCCCACAAGCATCGAAAAGAAAAAGGCGGCATCAAACAAGATCAATCAATCCTCCAAACTCCTCCACCATGGCTGTTGGTACGCAAGCTGAGATCCAATGTTGTTGCCCGCCCCAAACTCCTGCCCCTGGAGCACCAATCCAGTGGGGCACCAGTGAGGCTTTGCACACCATGTGGTTTTCACCATGTGAAGTGTTTACCATATCTTACCCTTGGCTCTTGCTTGGATGTCGGTCCGCATGGCGACAGGCTATGGCCTGAATCACTGTCCCAACGCCATCTACCTCCACTTCTTCCAGGCTGACACCCATGGGCCTCACGCGTGCGCGTTGCAAGTGCACATGACGCGTGCGGGCGCGCGCACTGGCGGGCACTTGACTTGGCGTGGCAAAAGTCCCCAAATGAGTAAACAACCCTGACCCTGATGCGAAGATTATGAGATATGATGAACATTGTTCAACCTTGGAGTGCTGTGCCATTTTCTCTGCTTTCCTGACAGGTACAGGTACCTGGGTGCTCGTTGACTGGCTAAACGGTGTGATGACCGTGACTAGCAGTGCGATCACCTTGCAGCACAAACATTACCCTCCCCATAACCAACCCCAAAAAAACAGGCACAGGAGGTTCTTGGCCCACTGAACACCACCAAGTAGCATTGGCAGCTCCAAGAAGTAAAACGATGACCCCTGACATGCGCCAGTGTGCGAGATCATGCGAGGAGAGGAGTCTTTGTTTCCGATGATGTGTTTTTTCCCGGGGCATTTCCTGATCAAGTCTGAATACTTCCAAACCAAGCAACCCAAAGTCTGAATCTTCCTCAAGCTGCGTCAAGTTTCAATTTAACATGTTCACTATATTTCACACACTATATGTGCACATAGAAGCGCCACCGGCATCTGCCAAAGAATTGCAGCATCACATTACATACTACACTTTACGTTGCTTTCAAGTTTACTCTCGCGAATATCAATTCGCCTTTTGACGGTGATAGCGATCAAGCTGGATATCGGTGAACTTGATTCCTGCACACCATTGCATGTGGATGAACCTCTGTGGATGAACATGTGAATGGATGAACCACAGCTTTGATCATGTGGATGAACATGATGAACTCAATTCACTGGCGACAAAGCTGTGGCCGTCCTTTGTATTTGATGGGTCCCAAATCCATCGTGGCCTCGGACAGACTTGCACAGCCAAAGTCAACGGATCTTTGGGGTGCGAAAGGGAAACTAGGCGGTTCGAAACCGTGTTGAATCATTTTTCAGCACACGTCCTTCACAATGTTTTAGAATTGATTAATGTGCTTTCTCGGGACCTTCTTCAGCTCAGTTTTCCGAGAAGGTCCAATGATTTGCTTTCTCTCCGACATCTTCTCTATCTTCTGTTTTTGCATCCATTCGGTTTTGCGCGTTATTGAGCTCCAAGTTGCAGTCCAGGAATAATAATCACCGTTCTTCTCATCCTCCTGCAGGGCCAAGGGAAAAGCAACAAGAAACACGAAGAGGATGGCCTACAAAGCCATGGCTCATGGGTATTGTACACCTGATCTGCACGGTCCAATTTGCTATGAGGGGCAGGCGGGCCACCTTTTCCGGATCGTCTAGAGCAGGCTCACTGATACTGGCACAAAACCACCAGGCCTCCTTCGGGTGGATTGAGCATCTGACTGTCACACTGTCACCACAAAACATGATCATATCAACACAGCCGTCTTGACTGTTCTGGTGAAACAATCGTTGATTCTTCAACCTGCTTCTGTTTCTGGGGCATCTGGGACCTTCCTTGTGATCAAGCTCTGCAGAAGCTCGTCCGTCTCCGGCACTAACTGCGATGCCAAAGAACTTCCAGCTTCGATCACCTGCTGCGACTCGGCCACCCAAGCCATCTCCACTAGACGTCTGGTCTCCATGGCTGTTTGCCAAATTTTCCCTTCCAAGTTCTCAGCCAACCGCACTGGCGGCACTTCAGGTGCTTCAACCATCTCCTTCACATCCAAACCCAGCCTTTGCAAGGCTTCGGCCACCAGAACCGGCTCCTCGTCCCCACTCAAAAGTGCCATCCGTGCCTCGCGCGCCCGCGCGCGGCCGCGGGCGGCCGCGGCTTCAGCGTCCTGCACGGCGGAGCGAAGCTCTTCCGCGACCTGGAGGAGCTGACGAGTGGCCTCCAACTTGCCGGCGATGGCATCCTGCGAAGCGATCGAGTTCGCGGTAAAAAGCGACTCCAAGTCGTGGCGAGAGGAAACGCTCCCAGTAGCGTTCTTGTTCCCAGTAGAAAGGCCAGGAGCCCCTAGTAGCGTTCTTGTTCCTAGTAGTAAGGCCAGGAGCCCCTAGTAGCGTTCTTGTTCCTAGTAAGGCCAGGAGCCCCTAGTAGCGTCCTTGTTCCTAGTAGTAAGGACAGGAGCCCCTAGTAGCGTTCGTATTCCTAGTAGCAAGGCCAGGATCCCCTATAGTAGCGTTCTTGTTCCTAGTAAGGCCAGGAGCCCCTAGTAGCGTCCTTGCTCCTAGCAGTATGGCCAGGAGCCCCTAGTAGCGTTCTTGTTCCTAGTAGTAAGGCCAGGATCCCCTAAGGCCAGGAGCCCCTAGTAGCGTCCTTGTTCCTAGTAGTAAGGCCAGGAGCCCCTAGTAGCGTTCTTATTCCTAGTAGTAAGGCCAGGAGCCCCTAGTAGCGTCCTTGTTCCCAGTAGTAAGGCCAGGAGCCCCTAGTAGCCTTCTTATTCCTAGTAGTAAGGCCAGGAGCCCCTATAGTAGCGTCCTTGCTCCTAGGAGCCCCTAGTAGCGTCCTTGCTCCTAGTAGCCCCTTGTAGCGTTCTTGTTCCTAGTAGTAAGGCCAGGAGCCCCTAGTAGCGTTCTTGTTCCTAGTAGTAAGGCCAGGAGCCCTAGTACAGTAGCGTCCTTGGTCCTAGTAGTAAGGCCAGGAGCCCGTAGTAGCGTCCTTGCTCCTAGTAGTTTGTAGTAGCGTCCTTGTTCCTAATAGTAAGGCCAGGAGCCCCTAGTAGCGTCCTTGCTCCTAGTAGCCCCTAGTAGCATCCTTGCTCCTAGTAGCCCCTAGTAGCGTTCTTGTTCCTAGTAGTAAGGCCAGGAGCCCCTAGTAGCGTCCTTGTTCCTATTAGTAAGGCCAGGAGCCCCTAGTAGCGTTCTTATTCCTAGCAGTAAGGCCAGGAGCCCCTACTAGCGTCCTTGTTCCTAGTAGTAAGGCCAGGAGCCCCTAGTAGCGTTCTTATTCCTAGTAGTAAGGCCAGGAGGCCAGGAGCCCCCAGTAGCGTCCTTGCTCCTGGTTGTAAGGGCAGGAGCCCCTAGTAGCGTCCTTATTCCCAGTAGTAAGGCAGGAGCCCCTAGTAGCGTCCTTGTTCCTAGTAGTAAGGCCAGAAGGATTTAGTAGCGTCCTTGTTCCTAGTAGTGGCCAGGAGCAGGGCCAGGAGCCCCTAGTAGCGTTCTTGTTCGTGGTAGTAAGGCAAGGAGCCCCTAGTAGCGCCTCCTTCTTCCTAGCAGTAAGGCCAGGAGCCCCTAGCAGTGTCCTTGCTCCTGGTGGACAGGCCAGGAACCCCTGTAGCGTCCTTGTTCCTAGTAGTAAGGCCAGGAGCCCCTAGTAGCGTCCTTGCTCCTGGTAGTAAGGCCAGGAGCC